TAATGTTTCATTTTTTAGCAGCAAAGTAACATTACTCAAAGTCAGTGGCGGCTGGTGGAAAATATTTTAGGTGGGGCTGTGGAAACGGTGATCAAACAATACTAGGGGGCATTTTTTTTAGAAAAGACCCCCTAAATTATGACTTCTGGTGATGTTAGAGGGGGGGGGGGGGAAGGACAATTGAGGCTTAAAAATATGAGAAGACTGATCAATACCTCCATAACTTCAGTGTGGTTAGCTATGAATCTTCCAAAACTTCCAAACACCTTGTCCTGGACATAGTTTCTACAGCATAAACTGTGCTAACAAACTGAGATTCCACAGATTCTAGAAATATAAGTATCATCACTGAGCGATCAGAACTCGTGACAGGGGAAGCAAATACAGACATCACACGACGTAGCTCTACGTTAGTATATGTTGGTAGTGCGTGAGGCCATATGTACAGATATGTACATGGGACATGAAAACAGTGCATCTCATATTGACAAAAATAAACCTCGCTAACCGAGTTTTCCAAATCACTCTAAAAATAAGCCGTTGTGATACACGTGTAGACAACATCTGCAGAATCATAAATGATCATTACATTGGGGTCATTAAACCATTATTTCGCTAAGATAAAAAACATTAAAGTTTTGGATTTGAGTGTAATTCACAAATGTTCCACCAGATGGTGCCACACACACCCATGGGTATATTAGTGTTTAAAGCCGTGGGAAATGTTTTAATTCAACAGGAGAGGGTAATTCAATTGTTACCCAGGGAACAGGGCTGCAAACATGGCTATATGAGTGTTAAAATGCTGTCAAACTGTTTTAATTCAGTCACAATTGTCGTTTTTAGACGGTGTACATTGGACTCAATAAACATACAGAGTTATGGACATAAATGTGTCAGTATAGACGGGATAATGTACATATTAATAATATTTAATTAGTTAAATGTACAATGAGCTAAAAACAGCAGAATCACTGCTGTTAGCAGGGTCTCAGAGACCCATAGACCCAGAGACCCAGGGTACAGCACCTCACTGTCTTACCCATAAAACAAGGCTCTGATCAGGGCTAAAGTAATGTTATAAACTGGTGAATCTGTTTAAATGCAGGCAACAGACTCACTGCTTTTAGCAGGGTCTCAGAGAGCCAGAGAGCCAGGGTACAGCACATCGCTGTCTTACCCATAAAACAGGGCTCTGATCAGGGCTAAAGTAATGTTATAAACTGGTGAATCTGTTTAAATGCAGGCAGCAGACTCACTGCTTTTAGCAGGGTCTCAGAGAGCCAGAGAGCCAGGGTACAGCACATCGCTTTCTTACCCAGAAAACAGGGCTCTGATCAGGGCTAAAGTAATGTTACAAACTGGTTAATCTGTTTAAATGCAGGCAGCAGACTCACTGCTTTTAGCAGGGTCTCAGAGAGCCAGAGAGCCAGGGTACAGCACATCGCTGTCTTACCCATAAAATAGGGCTCTGATCAGGGCTAAAGTAATGTTATAAACTGGTGAATCTGTTTAAATGCAAGCAGCAGACTCACTGCTTTTAGCAGGGTCTCAGAGAGCCAGAGAGCCAGGGTACAGCACATCGCTTTCTTACCCAGAAAACAGGGCTTTAGCCCTGATCAGGGCTAAAGTAATGTTACAAACTGGTTAATCTGTTTAAATGCAGGCAGCAGAGTCACTGCTTTTAGCAGGGTCTCAGAGAGCCAGAGACTCAGGGTACAGCACATCGCTGTCTTACCCATAAAACAGGGCTCTGATCAGGGCTAAAGTAATGTTATAAACTGGTGAATCTGTTTAAATGCAGAGTGGGACTCTGTTTATTTCACACCTCCAGGGCGGAGACCGGGAAAACCACATCTATTTGCCCGCTCACAGAGCCCCGAAGGACGGACTAGAGACCTCCAGCACCAGTCCCTAACAGTGGGACTCTGTTTATTTCACACCTCCAGGGCGGAGACCGGGAAAACCACCTCTCTTTACCCGCTCACAGAGCCCCAAAGGACGGACTAATGACCACCAGCATGTCCCCCTAACAGTGGCACCTCCATAACATTGCACACCGTGAGTCCCCGGGCCCCCGCAGTTAAGCACTCCCCCACCACGGACTAAACCCAGATATTCACACCCTCCAGAATCTCGTGCCCCTGGTAAGACTAACAAGGGGTGGATTTTGTGGTGGTCTACTGTCCGCCCTTAAGCATCCAACTGCGGACTAAACCCAGATATTCACACCCTCCAGAACCTCGTGCCCCTGGTAAGACTAACAAGGGGTGGATTTTGTGGTGGTCTACCGTCCGCCCTTAAGCATCCAACTGCGGACTCCTGACACTCAGACACTTTTCATATTTCTAGGTTACCAAGGGCACGCTTGTCTGGCAGTTATGCACATGGGGTTTTGTCCAAGGCAGTGTGCTTAAGTCAGGGGGCCCGGGGACTCAAGGTGCGCATGGCAGGCCGCCTATCAGCGGCCAAAATGTTTTAATTAACTCGTTATTGTCATTTTTAGACAGTGTACATTGGACGACATAAACATCCGGAGTTATGGACATAAACGTGTCAGTATAGACGGGATAATGTACATATTAATAATATTTAATTAGTTAAATGTACAATGAGCTAAAAACAGCAGAATCACTGCTGTTAGCAGGGTCTCAGAGACCCATAGACCCAGAGACCCAGGGTACAGCACCTCACTGTCTTTATTAAATGTACAATAAACTAAAAACAGCAGAATCACTGCTTTAAGCAGCATATCACACTTCCAGGCAGACATACACACACCCAGGGGGGGAAGAGAACACATTGACCCAGGAATAAGTGCTCAAAACGTGGGTAAAAGTGTGTTAAAAAGTCGGGGAACATGTTTCAAATGACAGCAGACTGCTGCTTGTTTGCAGGCTGACACGAATCATGGGCATATTAGTGTTTAAAGTCGGGTGAACTGTTTTAATTCAGGACCAGGGTGAAAAGATAACACATTTACCCCGCTAAAGTGTTCAAAACATGGGTATATTAGTGCTCAAACTCGATTAAACTGTTTTAATTTACGTTTTGGTTCACTCGTCTCACACACCCAGAGTGTTAACAACATTTTTTACAAATTTTATAAATTAGTCTAGAGCTCCATCTATTGTAATTTGAGTGTATTACACGTCTGTCCATGGAACGTGAGTTTTGTGCCATTTGAGTGGAGTAAACTGATATGCAGCTGGAGTAACATGTACATTGAGACGCATTGGGACATATCCTCATCACTTTCAATGTTAACCTTGTACATATGAGGCACAATATGCTTACTTTAGGTAGCAAAACACGGAGATATGCTCACCTTTTGCAGAATAACAATTCTGATCAAAAACGAGAAAAACGCAGCTGAAGGTTAATCCATAGGTTAATCCAATGTGTCTGTCACTTTGAAAAATGATTGATGATCCATAATTCAATTTTTATGTCAAAAACAGAGTTTTCATTAGCTGCTAATGGTAGCTTCCAGAGTGTATGACAGCTTTCTGTTTTGTCTCCTTGGATACGAGTCCAAATAACTCACAGACTGCACCGGGCGCTCACGTAGGAGCCCTGTGACCATCAGATTTGACGACGCTGATTGGCTGAAATTATGTTTCGGCGGCATAGATAGCAACAGTTGGCTTCTGCTGCACTTGCTGCACTCTCGTCTGGGCACTGTGCATAGCGCCCAGACGAGAGGGAGTAATGATACATGGGCAAGGCCAGGCAGGAAACATGTGATTTATCAGTAACTTTAGACATCGTAACACAATTTTAAACGAGATTTTATTGTAGATTATACATTTTACTGATACCAATTATATAATATTTACCTTGTTTATTAAAAATAAAAATAAAAATAAAAAATATATATTTTTAATGTGGGAAGAGGGGGGGCGGCGCCCCTAGCGCCCCTATGGGCCGGCCGCCACTGCTCAAAGTATATGTCGGACCCAACTCATTTACAGTATGTTTTGCATCTCCTCAACAATGGTCTGTATCATTGAGTAGAAAAAAACTCTCCCTACAATTTCAGGTAGATTTAACACACATTTGTAAGAAAAGTTTACAATGAAGCACCCTCTTATTAAGCGAGCTGCCACAGCAAGTACAGCTTAACATTAACAGTGAGCTACAGTTAGCTAAATTCATGTTCAACACAAAACCTCTAAGGTGCATTACATTGACGATTTTAAACAAAACTTAACTCTCTCTACTTGTAAGATAACGTTTAGTTAACTTACCCTTAAATAACTACATCACGTTTTCAGTGGAAACACAAACTGCAGAAAACGTTAGCTGCTAACTGTTGTTTCGCTAAGAGCAGCTAGCTCTTGTTAAAGGAAGTAACAACAGCCTCATGGCAAAACTTAAGGTTAAGTATATCATATATATGTATTATATATAACAACTTTACTCTAAGTGCCTCCTGCAGACATCCTGCATACACAGACACACAGCTGCGAGAGGGGATTCAGCTAGACGACTGTATACAGAGACGATAGGTGGGACGTGTCACGTGTAGTACGGAGACGATAGGTTGGGACGTGTCACGTGTGGCCACATTTCACCAATGACGTCATAGGAAACCAAATCCTGGATCTGCTCGTTTGCACCGCCGTTTTTTTTAGAGATGTGGGTAGGAGGAAAGAGAGAGAGGGTTGTATTTCTGAAACTTTGTGAGTCTCCTTACACACCGGGGACACTATTTATGTATAAAAGACATCAAAAAGTGCATTTGCATAAGAGGTCCCCTTTAAGGAGAACGTTAGCCTGCAAAGAACTTCTACAGAAAATAGTAAGATATCAGGTGGCTGTGTGGTGGGATTCTGTGTTCATTTCCAGGATTCTTCCTGATTTATTTTCGATTAGGTATACTGTTGTAGTGCATAGACATCAAGTTGTTTTAACTTTTTTAACTGTCTCTTTCTTGTTATAATAACATTTTCTCAAAAATAATTGTCCTTATTCTCCCCTGTTTCCTTCTCTTTCAGCAGATAGTGGTCTTCAGGAGGTTTTAGATGAACATAGGCTCAGTCTGAGGAGGAGATGTGAACATGTGACTGAAGGAACTGATACAAGTGAAACCCTCCTCACAGCATCTTCACTGAGCTCTACATCACACAAGGACAGAGTGAAGAGGTAATACCCAACATGAGGTGTGGCAGCTTGAGAGAGCTTCCAAGAAGATGACCCTCCATGACACTCCAATCAAGTGCCAGGACATCTTTAAAGCCTTACCTGACCAACAGACTCACATCAGAGCGGTCCTGACCAACGGAGTCGCTGGAGTTGGAAAAACCTTCTCAGTGCAGAAGTTCACTCTGGACTGGGCCGAGGGTTTGGGAAACCAAGATGTCAGTCTGGTGATCCCGCTCTCCTTCAGGGAGCTGAACCTGATCAAAGATGAGCAGTACAGTCTTCTCAGGCTGCTCCATGTTTTCCATCCGACCTTACAGAAGGTCACAGCAGAGCAGCTGGCTGTCTGTAAAGTGCTGTTCATCTTTGACGGCCTGGATGAAAGCAGACTTTCTCTGGATTTCAGAAACAGTGAGGTTGTGTCTGATGTCACACAGCAGTCCTCAGTCAACGTGCTGCTGGCAAACCTCATCAGGGGGAAGCTGCTTCCCTCGGCTCTCGTCTGGATAACTTCCAGACCTGCAGCGGCTAATCAGATCCCTCCTGAGTGTGTGGACAGGGTAACAGAAGTACGAGGCTTCACTGACGCCCAGAAGGACGAGGTACTTCAGGGAATAGTTCGACTGATGAAGAACTGTCCAGCAGAATAATCTCTCACATCAAGAGCTCCAGGAGCCTCCACATCATGTGTCTGATCCCAGTCTTCTGCTGGATCACTGCTGCAGTTCTGGACCACATGTTGACCTACAGACCAGAGAGGAGAGCTGCCCAAGACCCTCACTGACATGTACTCACACTTCCTGCTGGTCCAGACAAAGAGAAAGAAGCAGAAGTATGAAGAGAGACATGAGACGAGTCCACAGCAGCTGACGGAGGCTGACAGGGAGGTTCTTCTGAAGCTGGGGAGGCTGGCGTTTGAACATCTGGAGAAAGGAAACATCATGTTCTACCAAGAAGACCTACAGCGCTGTGGTCTTGATGTCACAGAGGCCTTGGTGCAATCAGGAGTTTGTACAGAGATCTTCAAAAGAGAGAGTGTGAACTTCCAGAAAACGGTCTACTGCTTTGTTCATCTGAGCATTCAGGAGTTTCTGGCTGCAGTCTACATGTTGCACTGTTACACCTACAGGAACACAGAGGTACTGAAGGACTTCCTGAAGAGAGACTGGCCCTATAAGAACAGTAAAAACAGTGATCAAGATTACCAATCGCTGGATGTCTTTCTAAAAGGAGCCATGGCGAAATCCCTCAGAAGTAGAAATGGCCACCTGGACCTGTTTGTCCGCTTTCTCCACGGCCTCTCTCTAGAGTCCAACCAGAGACTGTTAGGAGGCCTGCTGGGTCGCACAGACAACCGTCCAGAAATCATCCAGAGAGCCATCAACAACCTGAAGAAGTTGAGAAGTGATACATTCTCTCCGGACAGGAGCATCAACATCTTCCACTGTCTGACAGAGATGAAGGACCACTCAGTACATCAGGAGATCACAGAGTTCCTGAAGTCAGAGAACGGATCAGAGAAGAAACTCTCTGTGATCCACTGCTCAGCTGTGGCATACATGCTGCAGATGTCAGAGGATGTTCTGGATGAGTTTGACCTGACTAAGTACAACACATCAGCTGAGGGACGACATAGACTGATTCCAGCTGTGAGGAACTGCAGGAAGGCTGTGTAAGTCCAGATGTGATTAACTTTATAAACTAATGTGGATCAGAAGTTTAATTATTCAAATACACACTATAACATTTCTGCTGTTTCAAATACTGAGAGAGCAAAATAAAACCAACACTGTTCTTCTATTTATTTATAATAATAGTTAAATTGTACCGTTTCTCTCTTGATAATCCTTTGAGTGATATAGCCGACATGTCAAACACATGAAGGACTTTAGAGGTTTCTCAGCATGTGATCACACCACACTGCAGGATTTACAGTTATCAGTGAAAGCAGTTATTATGACTTTCTAATAGTTTCTTTATCATTAAACAGACACACACATGTTTATCAAAATGTATTAGAGTTTAAAATAAGATCTATATAATGTCCCCCCAGTAACAGAGTTATGTCTTAATGCTGATGTACTGGGAACAGCTGATGGTATTTAGTTTAAAAATATTGAAACCATATTGGTTTGCTGATTGTGTTTGTGTGCAAAATACATGTTCAGATGCTCAGAGAAGCAATCTAGCAACAGTCTCTGACAGCAGAAGGTCGCCAACACAGACATGTGATCAGATCACACATTAACTCACGCATTAAACTAAATTATAATAATAATTTTACATTATTATATATAATATAAAATGGTATCAGCAAATGTCCTTCAGAACATACTGTATGTCAAATCTTTATTCATGAAATCCTTGAGGTTAATATAATGTTCCCTCTTTTTTTAACACTAGAACCGCCAGGGGTCGCTGTATACCTAAAACCGCTAAAATCTATCTATCTATCTATCTATCTATCTATCTATCTATCTATCTATCTATCTATCTATCTATCTATCTATCTATCTATCTATCTATCTATCTATCTATCTATCTATCTATCTATCTATAAGGAACCACAGTAAACAAGAGACGTTGCTATCGCAACACGTCATGTTTATGTTTACGCGCAAGATCAATAGCACGAGAATCACTGCATTTTCTATAAGGTAAATATTACCTGCTGGCGCTGATGGGTATAAATGGCCATTTCTTTGGCCATTTTTTCAATCTGACTTCATATTGACAATTTTTAACAACAGAGGGTGCTACATAACACACTTTCAGGAAAAGTCACTGACTGGGAGACTTGAATATTTTATTGAAAAAAAGTTACATACAATCAAGAAACAGCTGCGGGTAAAATTTACCCGTTGGCGGTTCTAGTGTTAACACATGTTGTAATATGTGTTATTGTAGGCTTACTCTCTGTGGACTCTCAGAGACTCACTGTGAAGTCGTGGCCTCAGCTCTGAAGTCTGACCCCTCCCATCTGAGAGATCTGGACCTGAGTCACAACGATCTGCAGGATTCAGGAGTGGAGCTGCTGAGTTCTGGACTAAAGAGTCCAAACTGCAGACTGGAGACGTTCAGGTCAGTTCACTGACTGAACTTTACATAGATCTGTTTGTGTTTATGATTTTCTGAATTTGCCTGAGAACAAAGACATTTTAATTTTTTTTTTCACTTTTGCTAATGACTGATTATTCATCAGAATAACAAAGAGAAGGTGAATGTGTGAGGGAGTGTTTGAGCTTCCACAGACTCACACTGTGCTCCATAAGTCAGGGAAGATGCTGTCAGTACTGATGAGCTGTGAGGGAGATGAAGGAGTTGTTAAAGATCTGATCAAAGTTAAAGTTCCAGATTATCAATGGATTGTTTCTACGTCATTGCTGACATTAAAACCCTGTTTAACTCTGATCAGATTATTAAACCTGGAGTTATTTCAAACAGGAACATTGTTTTCTAAAGTTACATCATATTTTCTTTATTCAGACTGGAGAGCTGCAGTTTGTCAGAGATCAGCTGGTCTGCTCTGATCTCAGCTCTGAAGTCCAACCCCTTCCATCTGAGAGATCTGGACCTGAGTGACAACAATCTGCAGGATTCAGGAGTGAAGCTGCTGAGAGATCTTCTGGAGAGTCCAGACTGCAGACTGAAGACTCTCAGGTCAGTTCACTGACTCTCTGTTAGTGCTGGAGATCTCATATGTTTCATAAGTTATTCAACCTGATCCTTGTACATAAATATATTACATCCATACTTTTGTAAATGTTTTGTTCATATTTGTAATTCCCTAAATGTAGTCTGCATTCATCATAACAGTTGATTGTTTCCTAAAGAAACTATTATTCTTCCACTGTTAGTCGTTAAAGTAAATGTATGTTTTCAATCTTTAGTAAATGGTCTTGAATAAGAAGGTCCTCTGAACTAATATTATTTTTACATAAAGTTTACTTTCTAACATAGAAATGTTTATGTTCCCATCATTTAGACGTGTTTTCACAGATAATAAACAGAAGGCTGATATAATGATGAGCTACACATTTCAGACCTGAACATCTGACTGGATTATAAAAAATGTTTATCCTCATTATGTTTTCTTTATTCAGTCTGGAGAGCTGCAGGTTGTCAGAGATCAGCTGTTCTGCTCTGATCTCAGCTCTGAAGTCCAATCACTCCCATCTGAGAGATCTGAACCTGAGTAATAACGATCTGCAGGATTCAGGAGTGAAGCTGCTAAGAGATCTTCTGGAAAGTCCAGACTGCAGACTGAAGACTCTCAGGTCAGTTCACTGACTCTCTGTTACTGCTGGAGATCTCACATGTTCAGTTTGTAATTGAACCAAAAATATGTACATTAATAAGTTGCATCCATAAAGTAGTAAATGCCCTTTTATTCACATTTTCATTTTCACGTACTAAATGAAGAACTGCAGACATACATATTGACTGTTTCCTAAAGGAACTGTAATAGCTTTTATTTGTAAAAAGTAAATCTATGTTTTTAATATCAAGTAAACGATAACTTCTGAATAAAGGTAATCTGAAGTAATATTAGTTTTACATGATAAAGTTGACTTGCTGAGGAAGACATGTTTTTTTGTTCATTCATTTCAATGTTGAGTAACACATCTGAATATAAACAGATTTGAATCCTCATCATGTTTTCTTCATTCAGACTGGAGAGCTGCAGTTTGTCAGAGATCAGCTGTTCTGCTCTGGCCTCAGCTCTGAAGTCCAACTCCTCCCATCTGAGAGATCTGGACCTGAGTTACAACGCTCTGAAGGATTCAGGAGTGAAGCTGCTGAGAGATCTTCTGGAGAGTCCAGACTGCAGACTGGAGACTCTCAGGTCAGTTCACTGACTCTCTGTTACTGCGGGAGATCTCATGTGTTCAGTTTGTAATTGAACCTAATTTATGTACATTAATAACTTGAATCCATAAATAATCCTGTTCCGGGACCCCAAGTAATCTGAGAGCTGTTCTCTGCCATCATGACGCGCAGGGTGTTCTTTTTTAATGGTGCCTGAGCTGTGTGCTCCACTCTTCCTGTCGGCTCTGTCGGCTAAACTCCGCTGCTCCGGGATGACGGTCTAACTGCTGCTGAACCCGGAGCGCTGTTAGAACGGGACGCTCAGATACTCAGAGCAGAACTCACTTTCAGAGAACCTGATGTGCAGGGATTGTTTTTATTTTTTAAACAATATCTTTATTGAGCTTTTCCTTTTTTACAGGCACAAACA